GTTAAATTTTGCTATTCTGACTGGGGTGAGATGATAACTTCTAGTTGTTTTGATTTGCATCTCTCTTAGAGCTAGGGATTTTGAACATTTCTTCATGTCCTTGTTAGCCATCTGAATGTCTTCTTTGGTGAAGTGTCTGTTCATATCCTGTGCCTGTTTTTCAATTGGATTATTTATCTTGTTGTGGTGACCTTTCTTGATTTTAATCCATGTAGTGTTCTCTTGCTCAGTTTGTATAATAGTTTCTTGGTCTAGATATGGATTTTATAATTAAGTGTTCTGTAATTCCTTAAAACAAAGACCTGAATACCAAAGTAATTTTTTATAAAGTGCATTAGAAACTGTTACTTCAAAGAAAATAATTTTAAAATAGTAAATTGTTGTTGTTTTTTTTTCTCTTTCAGATACGTTGGCAACCTTTCCAGAGACGTGACAGAGGCTCTAATTCTCCAACTCTTTAGCCAAATTGGACCTTGTAAAAACTGCAAAATGATTATGGATGTAAGGGTATTTTACTTAGTTAGCTTTTACATACATACATTACTAGAAACCATAATTTTTTTAAAAGTCTAAGTTCATAGAGATTTTAGAATATTTATAATAAGTTCATAATTAGTTTTGATTGCTGAGTTTTTTTAGTAAATTAAGAGAAGGAAATAGATCTAGTCATAAGTAATATCACATCATCAAAAATGTTATATTGTTACTGTTAGATGCCATCGAGTCAGTTGCAACTCATTGACCCTGTGGTCAACAGTTCTGAGGCTTGACCTGTCCTATCTGTCCTCACACTCTTATTCATGCTCAAGCCCATTGTTGCTTTCCTAATGTCAGTCTATCTTATTGAGGGTCTTCTTTTTTTTTCTGGCCTCTGCCTTTCCTAGCTTGGTGCATTTCTCCAAGGCCTGGCTCCTCCTGACAACATGCCCAAAGTATGAAAGATGACATTTCACCCTCTAGAGATCACTCGCGTTGCACTTGCTCCAAGACAGATTCATGTTCTTTGGCCTTCCACTGTTCACAGTCCACATTTAGTACTGTTCTCCAGTACCACAGTTCAAAGACGTCAGTTATTCTTTTTTCATCCTTACTCGTTACACAACTTTCAAATGCATAGGAGGTAATTGGAAAGAATATAGCTTCGATCAAGTCGACTTTACTCTTTGAACTGATCTCTTTGTGTTTTAGTACTTTGGAGAGATCCTTGAGAGCAGGTTTCCCCAGTGTAACCAGTATTTTGATTTCTTGACTGCTGCTTCTGTGGGTGTTGATGGTGGTTCCAAGTGCAGTAAAATTGTTGACAACTTCAATCTTTTCTCCATCTATCATTATTTTGTCTATTGGTCCAATGATTATGATTTTTGTTTTCTTGAAGTTGAAGTGTAACCCATATTGAAGGCTGTAGTTGAATTTCTACAGTAAGTGCTTGTAATATTCTTAACTTTTCTACAAGTAAGATTGTGTCACTTCTGAATGACAAGTGAGTTCTGAATTAAAACACAGAGATTATATATGGCATAATGTTGTGCATTTGGGTTTTTCCCAAATTTCTGTCCTAGCTACTTACTTGTTTTCTTCCCAGAATATAGAACATCAATAACCATTTGTTTGTTCTTCAGTAGTTCACTGGTCATGAATTTCCGGATTTGGATTAGTTAGCGTCATATGCAGCCAAGGAGGAAAAGGGTTTGTTTTTTTTTTTAATACTCACATTTATGAATTTTATACTCCCTTGAAGTATAAAAATGAGTAGTACTTATGTTTGGGTTCTTATTATTTAAGAAGTTACAGTTTGGGGATTTTTTTCTGGGTACAGATCCCATAAAATGAACATTATTTTTATGCATCTGTTTCTATACATACCTGATGCCTATTAAAAGAGATCTTTGTTAAAGAATTCTTATTAAATGTATCATTAATTTGAGTTATTCAATACTAAAAATATTTTTATTCTAATTTTTAAATAATTGTCCCAAACTCATGAATTCCTTGGTTACCTCATTTTTTCCCCTCCCAGTTATGCTTTGAGTGAAAGTTTACAGAACAATTGGTTTTTCATTCAATTATTCATAGCAGTGGTGCTTATGACATTAATTAACAGTCCCTACAAACTCTGGTGGATTAGTGGTAAGGTGTTAAACTGCTAACCCAAAATCACACTTTTCTGATCCACTCTCTGCTCCATGGGAGAAGTGGGCTACTTTCTCCCATGTGATTTACTGCCTGTGAAAACTCAGTGATGAGACAGTTGTAAGTTCTTGACTCTTAACCTGATTGCACATAACAATAACAGTGTAACTGACAGACAAAATTAATGTCAAGGTTTGATGGCATACTAATTGATATATCAGTGTACATATCAGCCCTAGACTTACTTACCAGAAGTTTGGGAGACAGCTACCTGACCACCTGATTGGAAGAAACCCCTGTCTGTTACCATTCCCACAAAAGATGATCCAGCAGAATCTAGAAGTATTCAAACAAAATCATTAATATCATATACAGATAAAATCATGATGAAAATTATTTTTAAAGGGCCAGAACAGTACAACTCAAGGAACTGCTAGAAATTCATGGTGAATTCAAAAGAGGCCACGGCACAAGTACTATTATTGCTGATGTCCGATGGATCTTGGCTAAAAGCAGAGATTATTAGAAGAATGTCTGCTTGTGTTTTATCAACTAGCCAAAGGCATTCAGCTATTTAAGTCATAACAGATTGTGGCAAACACTGAGAAGAATGAGAATCCTAGAAAATTTAATTATGCTCATGTGAAACCTTCAACATATACCGGGAAGCTTTTGTTGGAACAGAACAAGGAGACATGACTTAATATCAGGAAAGGCATACATCAAAGTTGGATCCTTTCTCCAGACCTATTTAATCTGTAGACTAAGGATATAATTGAAGAGGCCAGTCTACGTAAAGAAGAATATGAGAACACCCTGCCTCACGCTAGTGATACAACCTTGCTTGAAGAAAGTAAAGAGGAAGCAATTGCTTCAGATTATAGCCTTCAATGTGGATTACATCTCAACATCAAGAAAACAAAAATCCTTACCCGTAGAGCAGTAGGAAACATCATGATGGATGCAAAAAGGATATAAGTTGTGAACAATTTCATTTTATTTGGAGCTATAATCAGCACCCCTGGGAGCAGGAATCAAGAAATCAAAAGACCTGTGCTGGGGCAACTGTCAAGGACCTCTCCAAAGTGCTAAAGAGAAGGATGTCAGTTTAAAGGGCACCTACCTAATACCATATGGTATTTTCAGTTGTTTTCCATATACCTGAAGTTGGACCCTGAATAAGGATGACAGAAGAATCAATGCCCTTGAACTGTTATATTGAGTAAAATACTGAATATTCCCATGAAAGAGCAAGCCATTCTCTCGGAGGAATTGCAACCAGAAGGTTCCTTATAAGCAAAGGATAGAAAGGAACACCCACAAGATGATGGATTGAAACAATGATTTTAACAGTGGTCTTGAATGTATGCAGAGATTTTGAGGATGGTGGAGCATAAGGCAGGGTTTAGATCTGTTGTTTCGTGTGTGTGTGTGTGTGTGTATGTATGTATGTATGTATGTATGTATATTAAATATGTATGGAGATTCAAGGGGGTAAGCGGTGGGAGCCAGAAGAGTGAGCATGGGTAGGGATGCAATCACAGGGTTCACAATTTTGTGGGTGGAGGGAGTGAGTTAAAGAAAATGAGAGAGATCTGGTGGGGACTAGAAAAGACAGGGTAATGGTGGGCATGTTGCAATGATGATTACTTTTTTTAAAAACAAAAGGATTGTCTTTTTTTATTTGTGGTTTTCCCATCCCATTTTTGAATAGGGGCTTAGACACTTTGGCTGCTTCATGCTGAACAGGGATATTAAGATGAAGAAGGGGGCCCACTTTAGCAGTTTACTTTTGGTCTTGAGTTGAAGCTGTATGCCTTCTTGTTCTGTTATTAGATATTTTCCTGACGTTTTCTACCCTCTGGTTGCAAGGTGTTTGCGAGAGTGAGTCCGGTGGGAGTGGCTGGCTGAACTTTGAGACCCTATCCACCTTTGCTTCCTTAGCTGACAGTTGTACTTCCCTTTGTCTCTGTAACTGGGCTCAGGGTTTAGGTTCTGGAACAAGACTGAGTGTTCAGGTTACCTATAGGAAAGGGAACAAACTTAAAACAAATTTTTGAGTTACAAAGAAAAGGGCTTTGGAGGTGTTACAGATGTACTGGAGGAGAAGATAGAGTAAACTGACTTAGATAAAGTGCCTCATACACACCAGGCGGCTCTCTCTCCGGGAGGCACTCCCCTGCCAAGTGGTTCCTCTGAGCGACAGGATGGCTGCCCCACAAGTCTTCTGAGGTCTAGACCTTGTGCCCTATTCCCTCCATCATTGCCCCCTTCCTCTCTGCCAAGTGGTCCAATTGTAACTTTAAGTAGGTATTATTATTTTCCCTTCCACAAATGGAGAAGGGTCTTCCAGAATGGTGAACAGACCAGCTCAGGGTTGTAAAAGTAATAAAGGCAGTAGAACAAAGACTCAGACCAAGGTTGTCTGAAAGCAGGCCGTGTGGCAACAAGCTATGTGTGACACTAGGATCGGCTGTCATTCTTCTTTCTTTGCAAGCAAAATCCTGCTCATGATCCTTTTCAAAATGACCAGACGACTACACTCAGGCTGTGTGCAAGGGGCTTCCCTCGGGCCCAGATCTGTTATTTCATATGGTCACTGTGTATTATAATCGCCTTGATGCCACCTAAAAACATTGTGGCAACACTCTTGGGATTCTCATCCTTTAATCCTTCCAACCTTTAACTTAAAGTTGAGCCACAGGGCTGTTTGGTTCCCAACCCACAGCTTTTTTTTTTGTTCATTGTTGCACATTTTCCTCCTTCTCCCCTATCTACCTCCTCCCCTTCTCCAGCCTACCCTGCAGTGCACCCCTGTTCCACATTGTTGTCAGTCATACAGTGGCCTAACCCAAAACTTTACTGAGGGCTGTGGCCTCAGGGATATCATCACTCTCTGTTAACTTGCCTGTTCATCTTATCATTTTGAGTTTTGTTCCACATTTTTTTGTCCTGCTCTGTATAGGATCCTCTACTGTGATGCCTTTTAGAATAGTCAGCAGTGGTGATTAGGCATTGTCCAGTTCTTCTGGTCTCAGTGTTAAGGAGATTGATGCTCATGTGATTCATTAGTCCTTTGGACTAATAGTTCGTATGTGTCTTTGGTTTTCTTCATTCTTTGTTCTGGGTGGAGAGAAAGCAATAGTTAAACTTCACATACTTGTTACTGGCTTTTAAAATCCTGGTCCTTTAAAATTCTTACAAGTTTTTTCCAGTTACATTCTTAAGCTATTTGTTAAATAGAAACAAAGTAATACATACCTTTATTCTATGAGCTTTCTAGGCTTTTGAATTAGTTTCTTTTAATAACTTGATACGGAAATTATGGAAAGAATAGATATAAAAGAAAGGGTTACAAATCAGTCTTAAAGTGTAAAATAGTGGGGGGGGGGTTGTTTGTTTTTATTATAAAATATTTCCATTTTAGTTATATAATCTCAGCTCCCTTGGAACACTGACAGAGAAGAGGAGAATTGTTTGTCTTAAACTCTTATTTGATAGAAAGGCATGTTTGGTTTTTTGTGTTGTTTTTTTTTAATTTTATTAATTTTAATGAACATTTACAGAGATTTTGGGTTTCCATTCATTCATTGTTGCACTATTTTCTTTACCCTCCTCCCCAGTTCATTCCTCTTCCCCCCCTTGAAAGTCTGTTTTAATTGTCCAGTTGCCATAGTGCTTGTCAAAGCCATTCTGATTAACTCCTTTGTCAGTGTGTCCTTTGCCATTCCCTGTCACTTCTCCCTGAGAGAGATTTCACCCTGATTCATAAGGAAAAGGGGATGCTGTAGGTTTCAGGGTGAAGATCTCTCACTACTCTAAAGGGCCCCTTTGGCAGTAGGAAACACGTAGGCTATTGTGGAGATTGATTTTGGAATTTAGATGCACTGTTATCAGTTGTGCTTAGCCATACATGTTCATATCCTTGAAGATGTATCATGGAAGTGTTGCAGCCTAGAAGGCACAAATTTAACTAACAAGTTAAAAGTACATGAGTCAAAAATTAAAAAGCAGTAATATTGCAAGTAGAGGTTCTAATAGTGGCACCAATCAAGTTACAGAGGGAAGGTAGTTCTTAAAATAAAAGGCTTATTGACTAGCACTTTTTCTATTATAGTTTATAGGTTAGGAACCACAAGATGTAGAGGCTCAACTATGTCATTTATTGTACTTAAGACCTGGAGCAACTTCCATCTATCACTAGGTTGTTTTATAGCTCGAAAGTCTGCATAAAAGGCAGAGGTGAAGTAAAGATCTGCTTATGAGGTTTTCCGTCAATTCCAACAACTAAGAAATAGTGAGAAGAGTTGGGACCTCAGAAGGCTTTTAGGACCAAATAGTAGGCTCTTGTGTCCAAGAGAAAATTAATATACTTACCAGTAATGTTAATGCTTACCCACAGCTCTTCTGGGAGGATCTAAATCGTTGAAGTGACATGTTTGGTTTTTTCCTTTTCTTGTGATTTGAGTGGAAGTTTACAAATCATCCTGGATTTTAATTCAGTCATTCATACATATTTTAATAATATTAAATGTTGTTGTTGTGCTTTATCAACTCCTTATTGTCTATTGCTTTTTCTATCACAGAGGTGAGAATTTTTAAAGGCTTCTAAGCAGGCAAAAAATTCATACCAGGAAGTACATTTTGTATTTTTTATTTATCACCTCTAAATTTCTTTCATTTTCAGTATCTAGTTCTATTTCAAGGGAACTCTGGTGGTTTAGTGGTAATGAATTGCCTTGCTAACCCAAAACTGGTAGTTCAAATCCACCAGCTGCTCTGTGGGAGAAAAGTGGGCACTCTTCTCCCGTGTGATTTATTGCCTCTGAAAACCCCCTGGAGGGTCAGCAATGAATTGATTCCAACTCTACAGTACATAAGAACAATAGTTATATTTTAAAAACTGAGCAACGAGGAGGTGTGTACATTTGTGGCAGTTTTAAAGACCCCGAAAACTTATAAAGAGACAACTTTAAAACAAGAGTCCATTCAAAATGTAAACTCTGAGGATTTAAAGATAGATATGACATGCACTCCTTACTTCCCAAAGTACATAGGTTGAAAGACCAAGTTGTTATGAGGAAATTGGTATTAAACAAAAGTGGAAGAAAACATGATTGCCTTACTGCCAAACCATTAAGAATCATAGCTCATCCATCTTGATACATAATCATAATAGCTGACACTACTCTTCCCTTACATAATTTTTCACTGTTGTCATAAATGTGAAATATTGGATAATGAGATAGGAATAGTTATACATGAGAGGGAGCTCTAGTGGTCAAGTGGATAAAGAACTACACTGTCAACCCAAAGCAAGCAGTCGGAATCCACTAGATGCTTTGTAGAAGAAAGATGGGCAGTCTCCTTCTGGTGTGGCGTATAGCTTCTGAAAGCCTGCTGGGGAGTCAGTTATAGATTGGTTCTGACTCACTTGCACATAACAAATATTCATGATGATAAGGTAAATATTCATGCATGATTAGGACAGTCATTAATAAAAGGTCATATATACTGACTGTGATAACCTGTTGAAGAAGATAACTATCATTTTTAGTATTTATTTCATCTAAAAAGTTCCTTACAAGAATGAACCTCTCATTTTCCATGGCCTAAGACCTGAGATGCTTTATATAAAACATATGAGAAACATAAAATTATGTTGCATAATTTTAAGTAATTAGTATAAAGCTTAAAAATGGCCTTTGTGTTTTTTCTACAACAGACAGCTGGAAATGATCCTTATTGTTTTGTGGAGTTTTACGAACATCGTCATGCAGCTGCTGCCTTGGCTGCTATGAATGGACGGAAGATAATGGGTAAGGTAAGCTGTCACAATTAAAACAGGTGACTGGTGCGGGGGACTTCTGGTTTACCCAGCATTTCATCTCCTATTTATTCATATTCTTCCTAGGGATAAAAGTAAATTATTCACATTTAAGAAAGAAAGAATGAGGTAGAACTTTAAGAGTACAGATGCTTGTTTATTTTAATATTTTCCATGTTACAGTGCACATGATAAGTACTAAAATAATTTACCCAAGTATGGATGATACAGGAATGTTGGAATCTACTGGGGAACAATACAAGGGAGGAAACGTTACTTATTTAGGTTATAAAAGATTAATTGCGTGCTTATAGAGAATTACATAAATTGGAATTTGTGAACATCATTTATTTAATTGTATGTTAAAAATTAGTATTGAAACTCTTGCTAGAACTGATATAATTTTGAATCATTTCCAACATCTTTGGTTGATAACCACAATGGAAAGGAAAAAGAGAGTAAACATTAGTACATAGAAAATAGACACATGATATCAAGATGAGTGAAGGGAAAGGCATTATCCAGTAAGAGATGATCAGCACAGTATCACAAATGAAGTAAAGATATAGAACGAGAGTTGAAATCAGAATTATAAAGAGAAGATGAGGAAGGTACAGTTATAATGTGCTTATTAAAATTAATGTAATAAATGTGCTACAATGAATAAATAAAGAGAAAAATGAAAATGTTATAAATATGAATGGTTTAGTGAAAAATTAATTTGCTTTGTAAACCTGCACTCAAATCCTAATTTTGTAAATTGTTTAAGAAACTCACTGACATAGTGGGAAAGATACCTTGATATATGATCCTAGATGTAGATCTAATAATACCCAATTCTGAGCTTTATTTTGGGGGAGTATAAATGTAAAAACTTTTTTTTTAAGGAAGTCAAAGTGAATTGGGCAACAACTCCTAGCAGCCAAAAGAAAGATACAAGCAGTAAGTTTATTTTATACTCTTTGAACATTTGTTTTTATTGTACACAGTAGTCTTTATTGTAAAGCCTATAAACATCATACATATTTGCAGTAATGTTTTGATCGTTGTCCTAAGATATGATTTAATGTGTTTGTGTTAATAAATTTAAGAACAAATTTAATCTTTGTCATCAGGTAGTACCGTTGTCAGCACACAGCGTTCACAAGGTAATTGTATCTTCTTAAACATAAAATGAAATCTCTTGAAAAGGGTATTCACTAACCACCTGAAGTTTTTTTGTTTGATACGGGGGAGGTGGGAGGGAGGAGGTCATATTTTTGTTTGTCTCTCTGGTAATATTTTCCCCCTTCTCCCCAGTGTTCCCTGAATGTGGCTTGTCCACTACTTTGGTGCTATTTCCAGCTCTCTGACACACACACACCAACCCCTTCCCCCATCCTCGATAGCAGCTTATGTCTTAGTAATACTTTTTTCAACTAAAGGGCAAGCTACCTGTTTCCTTGAGGTCATGATCTGTGCTTCATATATCCAGATCTTCAGAAGGCTTGAGTTGCTCCTGAAACTTTCCCAAATGGCAACCCAATATGTTGCTTAAGGCCTGCCAAATAGGGGTAACTTTTCTTTCTGAATATACTTTTATCAAATTTATATATATATATATATATATATTTCCATTGATCCGACTAATTTTAAGTGTGTTGGGGTTTTTGAGAATTGTCTTTCCTAGAAACTTCCAATGTGGGTTCATGTTTCTCTCCAGTGCTTTTTAATGACTGATACAAAGTGAAGGGATCACTGTTCTCACTCTGTTGCCTTCAGTCTTAGTTCACTTGCACATGGATTCACATAAACTGAATGGTGTAATGTCTGGGCAACCAAAACTGTTGGCTTTTGAGAAAACTGTCAAATACTTTAACATCAAACTGTTGCAATGCAAGGTATTTCTTTGATTGTTCTTCACAAAATATGGTTAAACCAAGTGTATCTTGTAGCTAGCGTCAGTCAGTTGTCTTAACTGAGTCTGATCTTATCTATATAACTCAAAATACCACTATTTTATGATAATTTGTAAAGTAAAGCTTTAATATAGTGGTAAGCTGAATAATAGTAAATAATTACTATTAGAATGGTAACTAAGTCATTAAATTTTTTTGCAGTACTTAAACTTGTAATATATTAGCTTATTTTTTTAGACCAGTGTAGTAATTGGCTATCAGAAATATGTCTATTTTAAGTTAGGAACTTGCAGGTATTTTTAGAGTCTTTACCTATTGTTACCTTGACTCGTTTAAAATTGATAGCCTCTGTATAGATCTAGGATAGTGTTTTACTTGGACTGTACTGTAATCTACAAATTATTTTAAGAATATTTTATGGAATATGTTTCTTTTTTTCTTTAATTCTAAAGTTCTGTTTTTGTTTTCACTTCCCCTTCCTTCCCTTTATAAGATCATTTCCATGTCTTTGTTGGTGATCTCAGTCCAGAAATTACAACTGAAGATATAAAGGCTGCTTTTGCACCATTTGGAAGAATATCGTAAGTAACAAAAGACAAATGGAAAACATTTTTAATTAGAAACAATTTTATATTGAAATAATTTGAAAATTACTCTATTGTAAGTTTGGCACATAAATGTGTAATACTTGACTATAATATATTGCATCGTTTTAGAGACTTCAGGTGAATAATAGCAAATATTTTTTTCATTGATGAAGAAATCTTTACTTACTTTAAAATCCTTTTTCAGTTAGCGTTGCTTCAAAGAAACAAATTTGCCTTAATACATAGGGTTATAGTATTTGTGTCTTGCTAGTTTGGTCATAGTCTTTAATCAGCTTGTGCTATGACTAAGAAATTTTGCTTTTTGGGCGTTTTGTAATACTATGCATTTTGTGTTAATCTGTTTTTAAAAAGAAACCTTAACAATTCAACATAAAAAAGTTATTAAATGCTACTTCTTAAATATGTATTTCCCCCTCCTTTAACTGTTACAGTGGTGACAGTATTTTGTGATGCACCATCTTGCTTGCATTTGTTAGTAATTGTATGTTTTAGGACTTCTGTAAATAGTTGATGATTCATCCTAGAAAACTTTATTCTTTTGTAAAATATACCATTTTAGAGTAAGAATAACAAGTTGATAAGAATAATGGTGTTTTTTTTTAATAGAAGCAATTATTGAATTTAGAAACAATTTTTTCGTTACTGCTTGCTTTATTGTTGTTTCAATTATAGGGGTGGTTTAAAAGCAAAAACTAGGCATGGACAGATTCCCAGGGATGTGATGGTGAGGTGTCTGCAAACTGACAGTACTATTAGTGATCAAAATTAGGGGTTTTCATTTGAAGAATTACAGAGTTCATTGGTATAAAGATGAAAAGACATAGTGACCAAGGAGTGTCTATTAACAGTGCCAACCTCAAAAGACATTCACAAAATTGGAATTTATAAATAAAGTGTTATGCCGGAGGGCTTTTTAATTTGTGAGAACAAATAAGATTTTAATTTCTTGATTATTTCTCTTAATCTGCTTCAAGATTTTGCTGCTATTGAGCTTGCTTCAGGTATCTAGACTAGATGGTCTTAAAACTTTGGTCTCTCAAGTACTCTGAAAATGTCTTTATGCAAAGTTGTGTGTGTATTTTTATTTTGTTGTACAACGAATTTCATTTGGTTTTCAGAGTGGTCAGAGGATTAAGACTCTTGATCTAGATTTTTGATTGCTGCTTTCTCAGTGAATCCTTTCAGAGAGAAATAAAGGAGGTCTTCTTAAATTAATGTTATTCATAGTATATTTTTATTGCTAAGACCTTTAAGTTTTATGATTTTCAGTTGAAGTTCTATATAATGACTGAGCTTTAAGCAATACAAAGAGATTTCTAAAATTAAAAGGACTGACAGTTGGTAGCACATTTTTCTATTTTTTGGTTATTAAAGACATTAAATAGATAAATATATTGTAGGGTCTTCATGAGATAATCTTATAGATTACTTAAATAGTTCTTGGTAGTTTATATAAGGCACACAATAATGGTGGTAGCCTATTAAAATATTTAACATGAAAACTACTACAGTACTTTGCATAATTTACACAATTTAAAGTCTTCTATTCCTTGAGTTTAGGATAGTATTAAAATCTTGGTATAGAAGTGAATCTGTTAACAAATTAAATACATGCATATGTACCATATAGGTAATTTAAGAAACAATTCTATATATTGAGAAATGGGCTGTACTCCTTATTTATTTGTTTTTACAGCCACCTCTTTGTCTTGTTGGCCCTAAACAGATCACTCTGAAATTGACCTAAAATATGGTTATATATACTTTAATATAAAATAACATTGCATGCTTTTCTGACTTGGGTTTCTGTTGTGAAAGTGCCTGTTTTGTTCATGTGTCCTGAGAGAACAAGCATTGTGACATACCTGGCTAACTTAAAAGCAGATTACCTGTGAAGCACAATTTGAGTCCAATTTTTTGAGGTATGGAGTTTTAGCTATCATGGCTGGGTTATTACTCAATCTCAAATAATAGGGCTCTGGTTATTTTGCAGAGTATCTCTGAAGAATGGACAGAATTGCCCTGGCTAACTACAAGCTACGGTTCACAGTGGATAAATGTTGGCGTGCTTTTTATTTCTGACTTTTTAAAATTTTCTTTTATCTTTTGTAGTTTCCAATCATTCTTACATGATTGCTGTTATAAAATTCTATATAAAATCTTTTATGAAGTATAAAGCTAAAGTATGTCTAATATTTTTCTTCTTCAATGATTTAACATTTCTGAAAATACCAAGTTCTCAAAATTATCCGTTTATTCATAGTCCAAAAGGGGGGGGGGTCTGAATTAATAAGAGAAAATAAAAGAAATTAGAGAATTAGGCCTTTTTCATTCTATGTGTTTCCAGTTTTCAATTTAAATATTTAATTATTAGGTAGAATATACTTTCAAATAGCAAATATAAAATTGTATAGTCAAAGAAAGCCAGTAAGCCTTGTGATCTCTGTAAGTGGTTAAATAATTAATATGAATATCTGCCTTCACTGTGCTTAATAATGAAAAGTTTAAAAAATGTTTTGAAGTGGAAAGAAATTTCTGTATAGTGTATGCATATGTATTTTAAAATCAATTTGCATGTCTGTAAAATTAAAAGTTTGCTACTATTAGTAAATCATATTGGACAGTGAATTTGGATTAAAGGTTCACTTTAATGAAGGTAAAACATGAAAATGAGTTGTATGTAATTTTCATTTTGTACCCAAAGAACAGCTTGCAAATCTAAAACTCCTATTGTTTCTGATTTCAGAGATGCCCGTGTGGTTAAAGATATGGCAACAGGGAAGTCTAAGGGATATGGCTTTGTCTCCTTTTTCAACAAATGGGTGAGCTCAAAAAAGAAGTGTGTGTGTGTGTGTGTGTACACATACATAGTTATATTAGTAGTACTTTAATAAGAGTGGAGATTGGAAATACTTAGCTTATTTTAATTGATTTTTTTATCAACCATTTGTTCATTTCACTAATAATTAGTACTTTCATGGTTTTAGTAATTTATGCAGTTTTGATAATTTTACATGTGCCTAATGCATGAAAAGTACTGAAAGGTAGATATTCTAAAAATCTCACTTTGTATTTACTACGTAGTCTTCCTGCTTTAGACTGTAATAGTGATTTCAAAGTACTAAATGGAAAATATTCTCATGTGTAGAAAGTTTTTAAAAAATATTTATGTTAATATATTGAAGAACTTTTTTATTTTCCTCTCCCCTTTCATTCAACAAATATTTACTGAATGCTAACTTACTTGAGCTTGGCATTTTGAGGTTTTGTAGATTTGGTGTTTTGAGGGTTTGTTGTGTTTTTGTTGCGGTTTTTTTTTTTTACAGAACAGAAAAAATAGTGCAGTTTGTGAAGTGCAAGTGTGAGGGAAGGATGTGCAAAGAAGGAATTTAGTGTGTCAGCTGTAGCATGAGGAATTCTGTAATACTAATTTTAAAACAATCTCTATAAAGTATTATATGGGAAGCTAATTTATGTATAAATGAAGAGACCATGTTTATGTGGCACCTGTGTGTGTTTCCTTTTTTCCTTACATGGATAATAAAGGGGAGTACTGAGAACTGGATAAAGGGGGCATAGATGGGAACTTCTATGCTGTACTCCTTGATGTTGGAGTTTTTTATAAATATAGTACCAATTAAAAGAATTAAAATTTTAACTCAGCAATGTGGCTAAAGACTCAAAATAATCAGAGGTATATTTCCTATTGGTATATATGATGGGAGAGTTCATAGGTAGTAATTTAGTATGTATGCCAAGGGCTCATTAATCTTGGATTTTATTTTATCACCTTTATGTTATGACTTGTGTGCCATCTAGTCAGTTCTAACTAACTATGGTGGAGTACAATTGCTCCCTAGTTTTCTAGGCTGTAATCTTTATGGGAGCTTATGGTGGGCTCCAGCTACAGATCTTTTGGTCAACAATTTGTGCCACCAGGATGCTTATGTTCATGACTACTGGTTGTCAACAGTAAGTATAAAATCACTGTACCTTTTGTTTTAGAGTGCCTTAGAATGAATTATTAAAAGATTTTGGCCATATGAAACATGTTTCAGAAGTTATTTCTTACTTGTGTAAATGAAGTATTAACACATATTATTTCTTGATGACGCCAGGTCACATTTATGAACCACAGTCATTGCAGTGTGCCATGATACACTGATTTTCTATGGGTTTTTATAAAATACATATACCAGATAGTGTCAGACTGTGAAACTAATGCCCACTATCTCTCATTGAATTATCTAGGTACTTACTACAACAACTTGAAGGGTTTTTTGGCCAGAATTCACTATCCAGGTTAAAAATCTGCTCTGAAAAAATGTTCACATGCTCACAAGGCAAGAGAATATAAAATGCACTTCAGTTGTAGTTACCCGTGGTAGCTTAGCAGTAAGTAGTTATCCTGCTAACCCAAAGGCTCACAGTTCTAATCCACCAGCTGCTCTGTGGAATAAAGATGGGTAGTCTCTTCCTGTGCAGTTATAGTGCCTCTGAAAACCAGCTCGAGGGTCATCTGTGAATTGATTCCATCTCATTGATTGTTGTTGTTGTTCAGTGCCATTGAGTAAGAATCCTAGCAACACTGTAAACAACAGATCCGAACCCGGTCCTGTCCTGTGCCATCCTGATCATCTTTGACACACTTGGCTGCAGTTACTGTGTCAAGCCATTTCATTGAGGGTCTTCCTCTGTTTCACTGACCTATCCAAGCATGATCCCTCTCTCTCAGCAACATGTGCAATATTATTCTTGCCTATAAGGATCTTATGGTACATAACAACAATACTTTTCAAAAAAGACCATATATTTGATTGCTTAATGTGTAACATAAAATCACTATTACATTCCTTATGTAAAGTAAAAATATCTTCTAAGAAAGTATAAAAATGATGAAGTGAGCCTCTTACTCAATCTCACTGTCATTCACTTGATTATGATTCCTAGCATCCCCCCATCAGTTTTCTCAAGCTGTAAATCTTTATAAGAGGAGATTGCCCTTCTTTCTCCCATGGGGTACCTGGTGGATTCAGACCTCTGATTTTCTTTTTATTACCAGCCCAATATGTTACAAACTACGCCACCAGAGCTCCTAAACCTAAGAAGTTGGTGAAATTTGTACATTAGAAGAAAAGTTGGAAATGATAAAGCATATCGAGAGGTGAAAAGATAAACTTTTATGTATTCCATAAAAATGTAAACATTTATGTATTTCATATAGCACTGATAGCTATCAACTTTTTTCCCTGTGAGATAAACATTATGAGATCATAGTTGATCCTAAAAGCTTTTTGTATTATTCAGTCACAGCATATTTTTGAAAAGTCCCTTGTATAATAAATTGATAGTCACATCTTATGTGAGGTCCATAGAAGATTGATATCTAGGTTTTCAGAGTGTGTAAGTGCTCTTTGAAGAAAAAGGTTGAAGGTTTGGGGTAAGCTAGAAACTCACTTTTGCCTTTTGAATTTTGGGATATAAACTCTTGCTATATGAAAAATATATTTAAGTTATGACTTAGAATCAAATAGCAAAGAATATCTGTACTTAGTCTCTGTGGTCAGCCAGAGATGAATTTTAATGCTGACAGCTTTCATGACCTTTGTAAATTTGGCACTCTGCTGTTGCGCAGTGCTGTGGCCATAATTCTATCAACCCTAAAATTCTTTGCCTCTCTCCCTGTGTTGAACATGGAAATTGATAAAACCCTAATCCTGATTGAACTTAGTTTCTTTTCTACTGCCTGAAGAAAAATCATACAACTCAATCAACAGGCCTCATTTCTGATTTCATGGTCACAGCACATTTATGCTTGTTTATTTCCATGTTTAATCTGACCTTTTTTTAAGAGCTACAAGAATTCTTACTACTCTGCTCTATTTTCTTGTAATTTTTACTTTTTAAATTTTTTTATTAATTTTGTGTATGTACCATCAAATCAGATCTGACTGATAACGGGAGGAGATTGCCCTTACTTCTCCAGCAAAGCATCTGGTGGATTTGAACTGCAAACCTCTCGGATTATAGTGCAGCTTCTTGCCACTAGACCACCAGAGCTCCCTTAATCTGACCTTTTATAGCCCAAAAGTGTTGACTGAAGACATACCTTACTGTTAATGACCTCATTAACTTAAAACTCTATTCCCAAATGAGATAGCATTCATAGACATAGGAATTGAGATTTACAGCACATATTTTAAAAAGCCATAATTTAATCCATACCTATCTTACATGGATTGTTTGGTTTCTTCCCCTAAACCTGTTCCTCTCTCCCTCACAGTTTTTCTATTTAAGTCAATGACAGCACTATCTTCTCAACCTCCTCTTCTTTTTCTCATCCACAACTATGACTAGTCTTGGCCATTAGCACTTTTTACCACGAGTATTTCAGTAATAAAGCATCATTATCCTTTACTCCTTGCCTTTAACCTACTTTGTAAAGAAGATTTGGTGACATAGTCCATTGAGTTGCAGTGCTAGCACCAAAGTAAATGACTTTATTAAAACATAGATGATGGCAATCTGTTAATCTGATATTTTCCCTTTTGCTTTTGATTTCTGTTGAAACTAATGTACTCCTTTTCTATTTATACCAAACTCATTCCCAAATTAATGCCTTTGTAGTGTTTTCCCCTCTACCTGAGGTTTTTCCCCCCCTTGATTGTTTTAATGTCACTGTCTCTTCTCAGTCTCAGTTTAAATGTTACTTAATGCCTCCATTCTCAACCTTTGGCTTCTTTCATGGCATTTAATACAGTTTACACATAATTTGTCTCCAAAAAGAATATAAGGTTGTGTACCGTGGAGTCAGAACCAACCCATACCTGACCCTCCAGCAGGTTTTCAGAGGCAGTTAATTGACGATAGATTGCTTATCCTCTCACGAAGCAGCTGGTGGATTCGAACCACGTGCCCTTGGGATTGCAGCACAGCTTCCTGCCACTAGGCCACCAGAGCTCCCTTAAAAACTAGGCACATTATCTAGTACCTAGAATATAATTGTTGTTCAGTACTTAATTGTTGGTTGAATACAATACCAAATACTGTCATCTGAACTTGATATGAACTACACATGATAACAATTACATTAGGACATTTATACTTACAGTTTTCCAGATGATTAGCATTCCCAGAATAAGATATCCAAACAAAATTTAGACATTCCATTGCATTTTAGGAAACCTGTCATATATTTTACCTTTTAAAAAGCATTTTCTTTTTTAAGAACATTTATGAAAAGCAGATACACATTTTATCTACTGCTAAAACTGGTTGGTTTAACATCAACTAATACTGAATTTTTTTTGTTGTTTTTAACGTGCACAACAGGATGCCGAAAATGCCATTCAGCAGATGGGTGGCCAGTGGCTTGGTGGAAGACAAATCAGAACTAACTGGGCAACCCGAAAGCCTCCAGCTCCAAAGAGTACATATGAGTGTAGGTGTATTGGAGAAGAAAAGGAAATGTGGAATTTTGGAGAAAAATACACTAGATTTAAATATTAGAGCTGTTCCCGGAGACTTATTGCAGAAATAGATGAGACGCAAATCAAGACTACTATTCAAAAATGTACTTAGTTTTCATTTTTGTAACTATAACAAATTATATTCTTTCTAGTATCAAGTCTCCTATTAAAAGAGAATCTGGGTAATTTTTCAGACATTCTTGGGGGAGGTTTAATATTAAATGTTACATCTGTTTATATATAAGCAATTTGGTCAAGGTAAATAAATATTGTTAACATTGTTATAGCATAGTTAGTGCTGCTTTTCGTTTTCTGAACATTTTTATTTCATGAATTAAAGACATAAAACTTTATCTCTCCCCAGCAAACACAAAACAGCTGTCATATGATGAGGTTGTAAATCAGTCTAGTCCAAGCAACTGTACTGTGTACTGTGGAGGTGTTACTTCTGGGCTAACAGGTATGGGAGATCTGCCTGTGGCATCTTGAGATAATTCTTCAACTGAGGAGTTTAATATATATATAGGATTTTTGTGTGTATGTGTATTGTTGTTGCTTAATTTTACTTACTTATTTTCTTTCTTACTAACAGAACAACTAATGCGTCAGACTTTTTCACCATTTGGACAAATAATGGAAATTCGAGTCTTTCCAGATAAAGGATATTCATTTATTCGGTAGGAGTGTTTTGTTTTTGTAAAAAAGAGCAAGGGCCACTTGAGAATGGCTATGTCTGACCTTTATTTACTTCATGAAGGGGTACTGTCCCCATCAACAGCATCAGTAACACAAAGCCAGTTCCCTTGAGGTCAGACATGTCCCCACGTTCTCATACCTCTTTTTACTAAGTGAAAATCTTAACTGCCAATCTTAACTGCCTTTTTGGGTCTGAAATCCAATGTAGCTCACAGAGCACACAGAATGGTAGTGGAGAAGTCAAAAGGTTTTCACTTCCCTTCTTTAAAACCTATTCTTTATTAAAGTAATGTTTTTCGAGCGCTAGATATTTGGAAAAATAGTAGACTGGGACAATCCTCCCGCCTGCCTCTATCAATTCTTTTTTTAAAGGTAGATTTTAGATCATTTCTCACCTCTAGTGAGGCGGACCCACTCTTGTCATCTGAGTGTCTGTCTCACTTAATGAGTTTTTCTCTGTAAATTTTCCTGTCTTTATAAAGTTCTTCTATCTTTAACTTAAAAAGGGTAGATTTTATGAATAAATACTTGAAAGAATTTGTGTCAGTAATTCTTAATTTGTTTTCATATTTGTTTCACATTTGTTTTAATATTGTTTTCAATAGGTTCAATTCCCATGAAAGTGCAGCACATGCAATTGTTTCTGTTAATGGTACTACCATTGAAGGTCATGTTGTGAAATGCTATTGGGGCAAAGAAACTCTTGATATGATAAACCCTGTACAACAGGTGAGAGGGTTCTTGACTTTGGGGAGTAATTTTTGGGCTATTAAGGGTTATTTTTAAATGGAAATTGTTAATAATCCTTGTTAATAAGTTTCTAGCTAAAATTATAGCATATAAGGGCTCTTCCTACATGTATTATAGTTCCAGAGTGGTGTTTCATGGATTGCAGTGGTGACATGATGAATGTGACCGCCTCATTTGACTCATGCTCACACAGTGGATTTTAAAATGCTCCGACAAACATAACAGGGTATTAAATCTTTTCTTAATACTTGGTAGATTTATTTACATACTATTTTGGAAAACTTTGGATAAGCATGCTTGACTCAACTGAAACAGAGATATAGCTAAAGGTATATTCAGAGCCTTCTAGATTTTGCTGCATTTGTCTCTCAAGGCAGCTTGGTATTTGAAACCTGTTCCCACAATAATTTCTCTAAGGAAGTTCTAAATGGAGCAAAGAAGTGGGAGTTAAGAAAATTCTAAATTATACTAGTTTCTCCCTTAAGTATATTTAATATAAGAACACATAATCTTTGTATTTTCCTTGTCTAAAGGAAGCAAGCATGTGGATAGTTTCTAAAACATCCTGAGTGTAGTATTGGTATTAGGACATCACCTGCTTCCTGCAAAAGGTGTGCATTCAGAGCATCATGTATAGTTACAACACTAGAATTTCCCCCCTTGTTTTAAAAGCAGTGACTTTTAAACTTTTTTATCCTATCATTTTAATTAAATTGATAGTTATGGCTCTATTATGGTTAAGTATTTCTGAACCATTAGGACTGTTTCTGTACAGATAAATTAATATTAACTTAAAATTTTATTTAAAAGCAGAATCAAATTGGATATCCACAAGCTTATGGCCAGTGGGGTCAGTGGTATGGAAATGCACAACAAATTGGCCAATATATGCCTAATGGCTGGCAAGTACCTGCTTATGGAATGTATGGCCAGGCATGGAACCAGCAGGGATTTAAGTAAGCACTTTTGTCCTTTTCCTTTATTGTCCTTAGAAAACATCAAGAACGTAAAACAAAATAAAAACAAGTAGGTAGTTTACCTCATAACTTTAAACCTTTGAAGGAGCTTAACTTTAGAAAGCTTTTCCATTTATAGCTTTAAATGTTTCTCTGTAAAAATGTCACCTGCAGTTTTGCTTTGAGGTAAAACTAGCATCATAAAAATTTTGGTTATATTTGATAATTAATCAAGTAATTTTTTTTTTTAGTTAGAAAATAAGAGCTTACTAACCTTTACAGGGCAAATCACATAGTATGCTATTTCTGAGTACAGTTGGTTTCATGTCAGTTTTATTAAGTATGATTTTGTGTGTGTGTGTGTGTGTGTGTGTGTGTGTGTAAAATACCTGTTAAAACATTGTTTTATGGAAAGCTTCTTCATGCATCCTGAGTTAGGAGGTTTTAACTTTCTGAAGAACTAAAAATAAAAATACTTTGCCATTATAAAAAAAATTATTTGTAATACTGGGGGAAAAAACCTAAATCTTTTTTAAAAATCTGGTTTTTGCCCTATTTCTTTAGTAATGTAAATGCTTGTATTATCAATAATTGACCAATTCAGATGTACAGATTTCTGAAATTAGTTAAATTTTTCTTAGTGTAAGGAGGATAACATTTATAGGTTGAAAGTATTAGCTGTAATTCCTATATCTAGGATTAAGGAAAAGTTTGATTCTCATTTTTCTTGTATCAATTACTTGTTTCAGGCATTGCACTTAATTTTAATCAGTGACTTTTTTCTTCCCCTGCTTTTTCACATTCTCTACCAGTCAGACACAATCTTCTGCACCATGGATGGGTCCAAATTACGGAGTGCAACCACCTCAAGGGCAGAATGGCAGCATGTTGCCTAACCACCCTGCAGGGTACCGTGTAGCCGGGTATGAAACCCAGTGAGAAAGGACTCCAGAATCTAAGGCCAGAGGCTTGAGGCTACAGGGAGTAGTGAAGCCGTTGTTTACTTAAGGATTTATCAAGTCAGTCATTGCAAGTGTCAGATACAATGTATTTATTTAAAAGATTCCTTTTTTAATCATGAAATTATCATCCACTTTGTTTTAAAAAGAAACAGGATGCTGGATGTCTGCCAATTTTTGCCTTCATTCCCTTTTTTGATAAAATTTCTCAGATCCTTGTTTCAAATACAAATGCAGGGATTGCTGCCACTTTTTAAAATTAAGAGGCAGAAAATTGCACAATTTTGAACTTTTTCCACTAAAGTAGTGTGCAGTTATAGTTTGCATTCCTGATATGATTTAAAACATGTAATATAAAGATGTACAAAAAGGAAAACCAAAACTGTGCAGAGTCTGGAAGTTATTATCTTCAACTTGTGCACAATTCTGTTTTAGGTTTTGAAATATAGGCATTGCCCCACCTCTGCTTTTGTCTCTGTAGGGCTTTTAAATCTGTAAGTTATTAGTTTACATCATTTTTGTTATCTACATTTTTTTCCACAAATTTGTCTTGCCTTATTAAAGTTCTGTAAAATACACTTAAATGGGGATTTTAAAAAATGATGTTTTCACTTAAATTGAAAACTTTTCTCAGAAGGATTGATAATTGCATTCATTTTGTGTTTTATATAAGAAGGTGCCTCAAGAATTCCCTGTTGGATTTGTTGTAAAGAATTTTTATCTTCTGTGATAAACTGCTGGAAATAGAGAAGCAAAAACTTAATACTAAAGAAAATCTCTGAAATGTGATAAGTTCTTATGCACCCATGTTAATTTCATCGGTCAACTTTTACGTTTATATGTATTATTTCATTATGTAAAAATGTTTTAGCAATTTAATATTTTGCACAGTTAGTGAACTTTGTATGTCATTTCCTTCTTAAAGATGTCATGCAGAGTTGACATTCTGAGATTTAATAAGGTTTTAAGTTCCTTGCATGTGAATATCAAATACATACTTTGGTAGTCTTTGAATACAGAGTCATCTGCTCCTGTTTTTCAAGAATGTTGAGACAAAGTTGTATGTAAGGAAATATATTAATTTGCCATTTTCTAGTTAAATTTACTCACAGAGTGAATGAGCATAATTGTAATATGTACAAATGATATCTGTGAAACTATAGAATATCCTTATGTGGGGCTTGGAGTCCATTGTGAACTCTGTTGTTAGCCTAATGGAACCAGCCAGGCACAGCATTTTTCAAATGTTCAGAGGCCAAAAAACAAACAAAAAACACTTGAAATCCTACCTCCTTAAAGAGCCTTCAAAGAGGAGAATCCTCCGTGCAATCATTATTTTTCTTTCTTGGTACCTGTTGCTGGAGTGCCCAGTTTTGTCATTTCGGGGTAGCTCCGAGCATTAAGAGGTTACTCTTTGATGGCATTGTTCTAGCTTTGCTATTTCTAGTCCATTTCAGAGTCTTCTGGGAGAGTTTGGGTGGATCATGCTTTGTTTTCAGGGAAGGTCACAAGCCTAGACTCCCTAGACAAAGACTCCCTATGAAATAACATGTGTAGATTTTTTTTTTTAAAAAAAAAAAAAGGTTTTCAAAGTACTCCTAGCATTTTCTTTAGGAACAAAAAGGTCTGTGAAATCATAGGATTTCCTGGCCTGCATCTTCCAGGTCAGAGCAAATGACTCTAAACTGGTCTCTAAGCCAATATACTTCTAAACCAGAGCCCAGGAGACAGCTCATAAATTTGTAATTCTCTGGAGCTCAATTCTATGCAGTTGTGCTGATGTTTCATTAAGTCACTGTGTATTTTTAAATGTTGATACTTTAGA